AGCTTCTTGTGGTTTCACAATGAAGCGAATTCAGTGAAAATCGTGACAAATACAATTTGACCCGTGTGAAGAATATTTTATTGCGTTTGTACATGATTATTTTGTGTCACAACGGGACTAGGTCTGTGCCAGTCAATTTTCAGATCTAATAGCATTTTTTGAGTTGATCGTAGAATATGTGAATGATAGTTGTGTTTGTATTCACACTTTTCAGAATGCAGTAATTTTATTTTTGGTTATTATAATGCTTTGAGTTAATGCTCCATAAGTCATTTTTTGAATTCATTTATGTTGTAAATATTTTCTCTTTCCTAACAAAATTGCTCTTTTAGAAAAGATTTCATTTCTTCACATCGAACGATGCTGAATAAGCAATGGAGAAACTGGTCGTTGACTTTGACATTTTCGATAAAAGAAAAAAGTAATTTCGTTTATTGGAATGTTCGAAAGAATCAATAGCTCATCCAGTTTCGTCCACATAAAATGCTAGCGATGGTCTCCTTTTGATTCAGTGTTGTTCCGTTACGATAGAACTTTTGTGTCTGATAGCACAGAGGATTATTGTTGTTTGCATCTAAGAAGTGTGCTCACTCACTTGAGGTTTTTCAGCAATTGCTTCTTTCGTTCAATTCCATTGAATGGCAAATTTATTCCTTTCAACTTCCATAAAAACATACACCATTATCTTTTATGAACGCATCAAAACTCCTCCCCGCAATAACATCTTCAGCTGTTCACTGGAATGTTCCATTATCTCTCAACAATACAGCTTTCCACTTACTAGTTTGCCATATAAACGTCGTGTATTCTTCATTTGTCCTCATCCAATCTAACCTCATCATATCACTCCATTATTCCCACTCACGCGCTCAACAGTCTTTTGCATTTAAAATGTGAACATTTCGTATAGTTGATACTGTGAAATATTTATGTGCATTTCAAATGCTTTACGTTTTATTTGATTTTGAATGGTATTTGAACTGAACGTGTCAAAATGTGAATAAATATTCAAAAGTAAAGCCTCATGGTGAGAACGAAGTCAATCACTGGAAAGAAAACTGAAATGACATCTGCTTCAATGCTCGAGCTCAATTTGGCGATGTTTGAGCTGAGATGTAATGAAGAGGCGGCCTGCGCAGTGAGCTATTGGCCAATGCAATTGCTGGTGAGACTTATTTAAAGATCGTGGAAGTGCGGTAATAAATGATGGTGTAATCAGTCAAAAAAACAAATCAATCGTTACGGCCATATTGATCTTCCGAATAAGACTTGAACTTCTCAAGTTTTGTGTGATTGTCGTTTCCTTAACTTTCTTTCGTATTCAATTGCACTCAACTAACACAATTGTATCTTGTGAATTGCAGTATCATTCGATTAATTTTATCTGTGAAAATAATCGAAACAACGGTGGTAATAAGTTGAATTGACATAAGTTCTCTGTGGAAAGTAGAATGCTCGATACAGGTTCATTGCTCATTACAAATCGTCGTCGTCGTTTGTGACAAGTAGCGAAATTCCAGGATGCCATGTGAAAACAGGAAGAGTGTAGGTGATGTACATAATTTGAAATTAAATTGTTGATGTCAACGGACTGAGGTGTAGGAAAGTGACAGCAGATTCTAATGCATTCCATGCGTGCGAGATAGAAGTAAACCAAGAACCTTATAAGGTCGCGATAACATTCGACACGGCTAATGCTGTTCAGGTATTGGGTGCAAGTCAGCACATATGGTGAAGACACTCCCATGAGACTGCATAATGTGAATTGCAATCTGTATCGTTATCACATGGAGTAGCACCCACCCGACGACCACCGTTCGGACACGTCTCCGACAAACTGTAGCATTCGTCAACAACACATACAGTATCTTGTTTAAAAATTAGTGGTGTTGGATTGCAATCACTTAGCTGGATTGCAATCGCTTTGCATATGTAATGCATTAGCTGTCCATCGTTCACGCATGGATATCTTGGATTGTGACTAGGAGACGGTACACAACACACTTTGTTGATACATTCAACTTCACTACTGGTTGTATGATGCTTACAATCTTGTGCTGACTTACAGCGGTCTGCAACTGCCATTTTAGTGGCAGGACAGTGACCCACAATTTGACAACATACTTCGTCAATACACATCACCGGACTACCATGATAAAAAGCCAAGCAACGTGATCGACCACAAGTGTTGCTCACTGCCTTTCCTCCATTGCTGCACGTTTCAAGAATCGAGCAACATTTTCCGCTAATGCATTCAGCTAATCAGCCAGTAAGAAAGCATTGTCCGTTGTTCGTGCATGACGTTCCCAGATCACTTCCACCGTTAACACATTTTTCTGCTTGAGCGGTGAAACGATTCATATGCCATACAGCAAGGATGAAGAAAATTATCGAACTTGACATATTCAACCTGAAGAAACGTTTTTATTTTTTAATTTCAATAACCTCATTACCGTAACCAATCACTTTTTGAGGTCTTGATGTTATGGGAAAACGCATTCGATA